CTGTGTGAAGAATAAATAACGCTAAAACCATATCAAATACACTATAATGAAATTACCTATTCTACCCTATTCAAACAATCAAGCACACCTAATAAATGAAAAATATTAAATTGCATTCACATCGGGTTCATTTATGTGTTGTGTGTTTCTCGGTATAGAGAATCCAATCTTAGATGTCATTGGGAAAGGTAAACGATATTTAACCTGATAGCAGGTATTTATTAATATTGCACAATAGTGAAGGAGGTAAACAACTGATTATTCAAATGTGAATTTCAGAATATTTCATTGCACAACAGGGATGGCTTTAAATAAATCATTATTCAAATATCGAGTTCAAAATAGATTCTATAAAAAGAGTAGAAGTAGAGCTGAATTGCTGAATAAACTCCTAGTATAAGGTAGTGGAATGACAGGAAAACATATCTTATTTAAATAAAACAGAAACATCTACTGCATTCTACTGGTAAAATTACAGAACATTAAATTACGTTGTGAATTCTGAGCAAATGATCATCTAAACGTTACTTAAAAATGCTAAATTAATAAATCTACTGGTGGCGGTCATCTACTGGTAAAATGTAGAATTTTTTAATAGAGGATTTTTTTTATTATTTAATTAAAATACAAGATTTGGTGTATTGTAGTCTTGTAATACATACATATAAGTAAATACCTATTCTCAGTGTGCTTCCTTGGTTGTTCTTGTTGGATGGAGGAGGCCGTGTTTAAAAGGACACTATAGGCACCTAGACCACTTAATCTCATTGCAACTAGAGGCACTTCCGGGTCCTTGGAGGACTTCAGGTCCGCTAAATGACGCTGGATATCCTCACGCTCTGCATGAGGACACCTAGAGTCAGCTAAAACTCTATAGGAAAGCATTGATTCAGTGTTTTCCTACGGGGGAGTCCTAATGTGCTCACAGCGCTTGTCAGCAGAGGAGGAGCAGAGACAAAATCAGGTAAGGTTTTAACCCTCTATCGGCTGCGGGGTTGGGGGTAAGCGGGGAATAGATGGTAATATAGTGATGAGAATACTACTTTGTAATCCTTTCACTATAGGTTCCCTTTAAATACTATTTGGTCAGAAGCACATGCAGGTAATCATGAGCTAGTCTGTATTTTAACAAATTCTGACATCATTGTCATGAGATAAAAATGGCCGCTCCCACAGAGGAAGAAAAAGTTATCAGATGTACAGAAAATGTATTTATGTATATACATTTATTACAAAGTAGTTCGCCAGGCTATAAAGCTTGCATTATTTATTTTCAGTAATAATAAAAGATGAATGAGCTTTGCTTTAAAGGGCACAACTAGGTACATTCAAATTAACTTTACAGGTGAAGGTGAGAGGACATAAGGGATCCCCTCTCTATATTTACAAGTCCCTATAGTTTTTTCACACTAATATGTAAATTGTCAGCAATCCAAAGAGAATTCAAAGCAAAGGTTTAGGCTAAAATAGTCACATTGGAAAAATATAACCAATCAATCAATCAATCAAAAAGTAAGACACCTATGTTTTCAATTGGCTGTTTTGTTCTAAAATTTCAAGTTCACTGTGAATTCCTTACAATTCCTACATTAGTGATTAACTTTGCTATTTTGGCACACATCATAGTTTTGACCAGTTTTGGTTTTGCAGGCCTGTTTATTTACAATTCATTGCACATATACATGTTCTTTCATTATAATTCCCTGTGGTGACCTCGTTTTATAAAATTATAGGAAAGTGAATCAAATCATGCTTCACAAGACGTGTAATACTAATTAACCCAACTAAAACATCACAATACTGTCTTTGAGTACAGAGTATCCGAATATACTTTGCTGTAGATGTGCGGCAGAATAATAATTAATGTGAGATGTTGTATACTGATGCTGAGTTCAGAAATAAATTGAATTTTTTACTATCTTTTTTTTACTTTACACAGCAGGATGCTAGCAGGAATATTGAGCGCAAGCCAGAAAATTATATTCTGCATAAGAAAACCGTTATCACTCCAGTGATCATATAACCTTCCAGTCATATCAAATTATCTTAATGTTCCAAAAAGTCATAAAATGTCCTCTCCATCAATGTATAATATGTCTATATTATGATAATTGGTTAAAAAAAACAATAGAAGTTAATGCTTGCATGAAATTGCCTCCTGCTGGTGCTCTAAAATACCTTTTTTTCCTACGAGTCTTTGTAAAGCAAGATGACAGTAAGAAAAATGTGCTTTTGATTCATATATTCATATGTACACAATGTTACATTTATATAATGACATATATTTTATTTTTCCAGGATTATTGATTCATATTCAGATAGCTAGCTAGCTAGATAGATAGTATCTAACTTGTTTTCATTACTGAATTGTTTTCCCACAAGGATTTAAATGGACACTATAGCCACCAAAATAACTTTAGCTTAACAAAGCAGTTTTGGTGTATAGATCATGCCCCTGCAGTCTCACTGCTTAATTCGCTGCCACTTATGAGTTAAATCACTTTATTTATACAGCCCTAGTCACACCTCACTGCATGTGACTAACACAGCCTTTCTAAACACTTCCTGTGAAGAGTCATCTAATGTTTACACCTTTATTGCAAATTCTGTTTAATTTAGAATTTCTTATCTCCTGCTCTGTTGATAGTTTGCTAGACCTTGCAGGAGCCAACTGTGTGTGATTAAAGTTCGATTTAGAGAGCAGGAGACAAACTTTTAAAGTAAGTTAATATCTAATTGAAAGTGAAATCATTTTTTTTTTTTCCATGAATGCTTTGTCAGTCACAGCCAGGGGATGTGTGGCTAGGGCTGCATAAACAGAAGCAAAAGTGATTTAACTCCTAAATGGCAGAGAATTGAGCAGTGACACTTCAAATGCATGGTCTATACACAAAAAAAACTGCTTAATTAAGCTAAAGTTGTTTTGGTGACTGTAGTGTCTCTTTAACTTTTTCTAGCTTTACACAATTTCATCAATTCAAACAAACATCAGACTCAATGATTAACATTAAGTTCATTATAAATATTTCCACCACATAATTTATTTACTGTGTGATCCATTAACATTTGTTTCTAACATAGTATATGTAATAAACAGATTTTTTTATTCAAAACTGACATTTTCATGGAAAATAAAAATATTGCATTATTCAAGTCTGTTTTTTAACCCCTTAAGGACACACTTTCTGAATTAAAAGGGAAGCATGACGGAATATTTCCATCATGTGTCCTTAAGGGGTTAAATGTAAACATGTTCATATAAAAATAGTAATAGATTCTAGGTTAATCTCTATAGAAGCGGCTTTGAAAGTTGGTTCTATCAAGACACATTTCATAAACCCAGCAATTAACAGTAGTAAACGGTTTTTGTTATGCGTGCCTGCAATATGGTTTTAAAATATATATCCTTAGATTGTGAGGAATTACCAACTGCCATTGTAAAAAAGATTAAACCTATCTAGCTAAACTGTACTTTAATGATATATTAATTATACTGAAGGTGAAAATGTGTTGCAGTTGCATAAAAATAAGAATTATATTAGAATAGGTGCGCACAGAACATTAAATTATGGTGTGTATCCAGAGCAAATGACCATCTAAACTTTACTTCTGGTCTTTATCGCAAAACTTTTTTTTAGCAAATTAAATCTGAACTGGTATATTCAGACAAAACTCGACAATTTAAAAGAAAGTCTCCAAAGGAGTTAAAGTCACAGCTTAGCTTTTTTACCCTCCATTTCGCAATTTGGATTTGATGTACTAAAAGTCAGAGTTCAGTGAGTAATCCAAATTGCAAAATGGAGGGTAAAATAGCTAAGCTGTGACTTTAGCAGGAGAAGGACAAGGAGGACAATGTTGCCCTGATTGTGGCTGTGCCTGGACATACCTATTCCTGTGTATTGTCTATGTATATTAGTATTAAAATGTTAGAGATACTTAGACACAAAGATTCTAAATAACTTTGTGGTTTATAGAAATGCTAACATTCTGAATTGCCTGTTCTGGCAGAATGGACTCTATAAATCAGCAATGACAAGTCAGGCACACCAGCTCATTTGGTGAGTGTGGTATTGTTACTGCAGTAAAAAAACCAAGATAATGTCTGCTCATATGAACGGATGTTCATTTAATAGTTGGTACACAATTCCCTGGACAGTTATGAAGTTGTGAAGGAAAGTAGACTGTTTTCCAGTGCGTACTTCTCTGACAATTTCAAACGATATCTTGCTATATATAAAAATGGCACGGAGTGATTTATAGAATCTCATGTGCTGCAGACAGAGACTATATTTTATTCTGATAGGACATGTTTGCGTTTAACTTAAAGAAGATATTTCTGTAAGATTACAAAGTGTAGAATGTAGGCAGCTGGTAGTCAGATGGAATTTATGAGTACAATTTCTGTTATCAGGCATTGGAGAACTCTGGCTGTCAACTTTCATTATGGTCTGTCACCAGAGGGACTGGGAAGCATTATAGGACTTGTAGTCTTTCAGAGCTACTACACTTAAAGGGACACTCCAGACACCTAAAACACTTTAGCTTGTTGAAATGCTTTATGTGTGAAATGTGTCCTCTTTTTTCATTTTACAAAAAGTGCAGATTTAAATAGAAATTGGCAGTTTTATAAATTAACTTTGTTACACCCCTCTACCTTTGGATCAGACAACTGGTACTGTTACTTCCTGTTACTTGAGAGGCAGGCAATTGCCCAGAGCAGCATCCAAGTAGGGAATCTCACATTGCTCCAGTTGCAGAAAGTAACAGTGTAACTCAGTTAAAAGCAAATATATCTGATAGGGTTAATTTCTGTTAGGCTGAATCATAAGGATCCGTATCTAATAAAAGACCACCCAAGTGCAGCAAACCAATATAAAATAAGGTAAAATTACTTTCCTTAAAAATCTAGGTAGTAACAAAAGGTTCCTCAGAGCCTCATAGAATACATACAAAATACAAGATACACCTAGATAACAAACACCAAGAAAGGAACAATCATAGGGAAACACCGTTTGGTAGATGGAACCCTAAAGCAATATTGCCCTCACAAAATTTTCATCATCATTTCGTGAGTGCAATATTGCTTTAGGGTTCCATCTACCAAACAGTGTTTCCCTATGATTGTTCCTTTCTTGTTGTTTTTTATCTTGGTGTATCTTGTATTTTGTATGAATCATAAGGATGTCACATACACAGTTTTGCACATGACCATGTCAGAACGTCACATATGCAGTATTTATTCTCTCCTATTCTAAGAAAACACTACCACTATATCCTCCTATTCTAAGAAAACACTACCCCTATATCCTCCTATTCTAAGGAGACACTACCCCTATATCCTCCTATTCTAAGAAGTCCCTACCTAGTAATGCCCTTACCATGATTTCTTACATGCCCATACCACAATGTATGCACAAGCTGTCCATTCTGTTTAGTTAATAGTTGTCAATATTTGATTGGTAATTAATGACACTCCCCATGACTCCCCGTTTATTGCGTATTATTATAAAACCATTGTTCTGTTTTATAAAGAGAAGTAATTTTCCTGAACTGCCTCCCTTGCATGTCTTTCACTGGAGTGTCTCCCAGTACTGGAAGGGTGTGGTTTGGTCCATAGCAGAGGTCTGGTGATCACATAGGAGTACGTTCCAACATTAGTCTTGTGGAAGCTTCACACAAACTCACTAGTCAAACTGCAATAGTAACCTGGACGCAGCTCGAAAACTTGGTTCCTTAGTGGCAAAACTTCAACATCAGAAACAAAAATCCAAAGACAACATGGCAAAATAATGCTCAGACTCCTATGAACCTCTTTATTTAGAAATTAAACACGGTTAAATCCGACATATCTAATGTGTTTCATCCATAACACAGGGATTAAACTCATCAGATATGGCAGTTTTTACCTTAATTAATTTTGTGAATAAATGAGTTCATGGGAGTCTGTACATTATTTTAACATGTTGTGTCTGGAGTTTTGTTTTTGCATGTTGAAATTGCTCAGAACACCTGCATTGCAAAGACTTCTTATTGAGCTGCACTGGGAAGTCTGTGATTGGACAGATGCAAAAAGTCAGGGCGGAGTTAGAAGGGGAGGGCTTCCAAAGGCTTCCGACAAGAGATGTGCAGGTTTTGCAAGCTGCTTTTTGATATACACCATTGAAATATGCATAATAAAATAGATGCATGATTTTTCCTTTGGGGTATATCGACTAAACTGTGATATACTTATTTAGTCTTGTATTTGGGCAGTGAAGTGCCCCTTTAAGTGGTATGGCCTACCCTACCCTATAGCAGCATAAAATATATAGGTATTAAAAATCAAAGGCCTATAAGCACCTCAAAAATTTGATCACCTAGAAATAGAAACAATTAAACAATAGGAACATTTTGAGTTGTTTAAGGTAATGGTAAACATGGGTGCTATGGGTGCACATATTTTTAAAATAAGCACAAAACACATTTTCTGTAATTGGTGTTATAGCCAAGTGCTTTATGTACGTGATACATTGTGATTGGATTCTCTATTCACAAATCTGGCAGCAGATTCCATACACATAGCCACAAGCAGTATATGGTAACATTATTATAAATTTTATACTGTTTTAATTACTGTTTAGTTAGATTCTGATGTCCAGCAACCTATAAATTATATTTTTCCTTATTTCATGCAATAGCTTTGGATTTATGTGTGACACCAAGCATGTTTACCTCTGGTGATGGTTTGATTTTATTTAAGGGTAGAAAGGATTAATGCATTATAAACATGATTTATATCACTAATCTTTGTCTGTTGGAGGATTTATTTTCCTATATAGTGGTCACATACATACTTCTTTGGCAGAGTCTCAATGAACATTCAGAGGTATGAAATCACCGGGCACTGTTATTTTATCTTGAAAGAATTCCAGAATTAGTTCTTGTGTTGATTTACTATGCCTAACCTCTGGCATATTTAGAATTCTGCAGCGATCAATATGTCTACTTAGCTCAGAACAGCAAAAAATTAAAAATTAAAAACAAAAAAAGTGCATTAAAAAAATCTGAATGACTTCGGAAATGTATAGTGTATTAATAGCAAACACTATTCTCCAAAACAACCTGGTATTACTACTTCTGAAAAATAGATTGAAGCTTAGCTCAGAGAGAGAGAGACATTAAATAGTCAATATATTTCCATCCTTCTGCGTGAGACTGAGGAAGCTTCCTACACTAACTCACCACACAGTAATGTTTCAGATGACTGCATTTCCCATGGATAGTTGTGGAAAATTGCAAGTTCATGATAATGCAATATTTTATGTTCTGCTGCAGAATTACACATTTATAATATTTGGATGGAGCTTAACCCCTTAAGGACACATGACATGTGTGACATGTCATGATTCCCTTTTATTCCAGAAGTTTGATTCTTAAGGTGTTAAAGGAACACTACACAAATGTAACTTGCTCTCTGTGTCTGGAGCCTTTCCTTCATTCAATTGAGGGCAGAAACACCTCGCTGGCTGTTAATCAGAAATCCAGGGAGGTTGTTTTTTCTGCTTCAGTTAGCGCCACTGAGTTAACGGAATTGCACTAGCATGTGTCTGCCTTCCTCCCTTCTTAGTGAGCGGTAATTCAGCTCATTGAGAAGCATTGGAATGCCGCCTTCGTGCACACATGTACGGTTCCAGCATAGAGACTTCTCAATTCAGTCTGTTTGACATTCGAAGGGGAGGGCTTGCAAAGGCTGCAGACCAGATATCTGCAGGATTGCAAGCTGTTTATTAGAAACCTCTCCAATGAAAAAAATGCATACTTAAATGTATGTCTGTTTTCATTGGGGATATATATACCAAACTGTGATTTTTTGGGGGAACAAATATTAAATATTTTCCAAATAAATAGATGACAAGCTCTTCAGAATAACAAGCAGTATCTTAAAAGATTGCTAACATTGTTTTGCTCACATTTTTACTATAGTGCCAATAAATTCAATAAATCCCTGCTGGTAAGAGGTTTATCAGATATACTGATACCAGGGTCAGGCTGACACCTTTCCTATTAGTGTTCTCTGTCCTACCACTCATTGTAAAATCTGTTTTTTTGGGATGAAATGGTTCAACTATTGGGAACCTTGTGGTATGAACAGAGATTTTGATCTGAGTATATTTCTCTAATATTGGCTTTTTGATTTTTATTCCTACAGGCTTAGTCATTACCGAGAATGTCATTAGGGGGCCTGGAGCTCATGGTTTAACACTGGGAATCCATTGCAATCACATTAATTTACATGTTACAAAAAGATAAGTCCTGCGCTCACTCCCATCACTACTAGGCCGGCAGCAATGACTACAGTACACATCAGCCACTGGAGCAACTAAATGACCTCCATTTGTCTAAATATACATAGGGATTAAGGAGAGAGCGCAGGTAACTTTTTTTTCTTTGGTTTTTACCATATCTTGGGGCTTATGTGTACTGTAGTCATTGCTGCCGGCCCACTAGCGATGGGAGTGAGCGTAGGACTTCTCTTTTTGTATTTACTTTGTATCACACAGCCTTGTTACAATGCTGCCGCCCATCCCATGTGTTCCCTATTAAGGGTTAATAAGTATATAGGGGTGTATATAAAAAAATACCCCTCTGTCTCATTAGAGATTTCTTTGCCAGAAGCTCAAGGAAGCAGGCTGAAGGGTCAGTGTTAGGACTCGCTTTAGGGGGGTCTGCCTTGATATTGGCAGGCGGGCATTCCCTCCAATGGCCATTGGAGCAACTAAAGACCTCCATTTGTCTAAATATACATAGGGATTAAGGAGAGAGCGCAGGTAACTTTTTTCTTTTCTTTGGTTTTTACTATTAGTTTACATGTTATTTAGCAGGTTTCTACAATATATTTTTATGGAACAATTTTGTAGCATTTTCATATGACATTGTTTGTAGTCATTTGTGTTACCCTTTTTTTTAATATTTTATTGGTTTTCAAGTTTCATAACAAAGTTTGAGTATACATTGGTTGTAATAGAGACATTGACGGTACAATTACAAAAGATGTGTTTAAGTTGCGGGTTCTAAACATTGTGATTATCATTAAACAATAGATGACAATAGGTGACAGACAGTACACATGAGGATTTTCTCCAGGCTTGCACTGAATTTTGGATGAAGCCTAAGGAGATGAGTTTCCGTAGCAGTCGTGGGACTTGTGTGGACGTCTAATGCAGTTGGGTGGTTGAAAAAGTGCGATGGGAATTTCTCCCAGTTTGTGTTATAAACTCTGGAATGGGCCGCTATGGCGCTGTATAAGAGTGGAAATTGTTGCCCCGGCTCATTTGACACCCCTCAGGTATGATGTCCAGGGTTCCCACATTTGGGTGAATGTTGTGTAGTTTTCGGATAGTGCATAAGTTATAGCCTCCATCTGTTGGAGGTTTTCTACTCTGCTGGTCTATACCCTAACAGTGTTTTTTTTTTCCTGTTTCCAGTAAACCGGAATTAGGTGGTTCGCTGCCATGAGCAGTTGGGCTGTCAGATAGGTTTCAGATTTTGTGAAGCCCTGGGGTGGTAACATGAACAGTATATGTTCCGGTGTAAAGGGTATTTGTTTGTGCATGACGATTTGCGTGATTTTGTGTATACGCATCCAGAATTTTTGAATTTCCGGGCATTGCCACCAGATGTGTGTCGGGTTAGCCTCACCCTGTCCACATCTCCAGCAGATGTTATGTGATCCTGGGAACATTTTGTGTATTTTAGAGGGTGTGTAGTGCCAGCGGGTCAAGCATTTATAATTACTCTCTTGGTTGGCGGTTGCAATGGACATTTTATGGTTTCTGATAAAAATTTGCTTCCATTGCTCTCCCGATATATCTTTGTTTAGTTCCTCAGTCCACCTGGTGGTGAACCTCGGGGTATCAGTGTTTGAGGTTAGCAGTAGCTTATACATTGTGGACAGCAATTTTTGTTTTAAGGAGTGGGTTTTACATAGGTGTTCAAAGGTTGTCAGTTCCCTATGTCCCTCTGGCATCAGTTTCTGGGTGGTCAGGAAATGTTTAAGTTGCAGGTAGTGTAGTTGTTGCGAACTCGTAGGTGTTTTACCGAGGGTGAGGTCATGTAGAGCTATTAATGCCTTATCCC